ATATAACTCCTTATCAGAGGTATCATTGGCGAATATCTTCTTCCATTCAGTCAGTCTATATATTCTTTTACTCTTAAAAAATATTTATATGACAAACTAGTAAGATTGACTTTTAGCCAAACTGACCAGTCGCACTAGCTAAAACATTTGAGATTCTTTGTGTGTTCATAAACATAGCCTTGGAAGGTATATTTTTGTCATTCAGACACTCAGTGAGCATATTTAGCCTTTTGTGTCAAGCATTGTGACAGGTTCAGGGACTACATAGGTGTGTGTAGGGCAGTCTCCCGCCTCCAGCTGGCTTTCAATTACAAAGATCTAAAAGCTCAAAGCAAACCAAAATCAAGACAGTTACATCACATGCTCAGATGAGTGCTCTAGGAGCTAGAATGAGAGTTTCTAGACTGAGTACGGGATCCAGTTAAGGAAGTATTTCCTTGAGAAAGAACCAGAAAAGGATATTCAAGACTTGAAATCATATATGAAGGAGGTATGCAGCAAGAAATGGAGGGAGATTACCCAAAATGGAGCAATCTGCTCCTTTTTTACCTATCATTTTCATGTGTTATTTCATGTAAATTCCAATGAAAGTACATTGCTACTTAAATGGCTTCAAAGACACCTTTTTTAAAGTTCTTATGCTTATAGGGTACCCTAGGGTCTGCACAGGCCTTAGGCAATGTAAAATACTTTATTGCACTTTTAAATAATGACATATAAGTTCATTGTAGAAAGTGGTCTATTTTTAGTCTCAAGAGGAATCCAAACCCACTTCTCTAGAAGAAACTTTGGAGATAAACACTCATGTAAAATAGCCTGTGAAACAGCTCGCAGTGTTTATAATAGAATTTGACGCTCCATTGAAATCCCCACAGAAAGCTTCAAAACATCTTGGCTCTGACCTTTTCAGACCAAGGTCACTTATTTTTTGATGAGTCAGAAGACCGTGTTGATGGATGAAACTGGTGAAGCATTGACATTTGGATGGTTAGCCAATTCACTCCTCTCAACACCAAGACCATGCCAATGTGTTTTGTAATCTCAAAATAACCCCTCAACTAGATGACAATCGAGGGAATGGGTAATCCTGAAGAGAATCTAACAACTAGTTTGTGTACTTGAACATTTCTGTCTTATGTAATCAGCTCAGTTTTTACAAATCTCAATGTATTTTTGAAGCATTTTGCCCAGGTGCTGTTATTTTCTCAAGACCACTGTCATCACTTTCAGTCCTTTTTTCTTTTCCTTCCTAACTCTCCTTGACACTGTGATTTAGTTCCGTTTATTTAGATGTTCTTCTGTCGTAAACTTAATGGGGGTGGGAGTGTTAGAGATAAGTTAGGATTGGCCGTCTGTGTTTTTGTAAATCTCAAGAGATTGTTATCAAGTCCGTTGGTTCATGGGACATGACTTTCTTCCCCCTAGTTCTGGGTCTTTGCCATGGTCAGCAAGAAACCAGTTGCTTTAAGACCAACATCCCTCTGGTCAAGTTGCAGGCCATCTGCTTGGACATATGGTCACTCTTTGATCTTTTAACAATTTATTCTCTGTCCCCTCTGGTGCCTAGATTCTCCCTGGACCTTTGGGAAACATGAGGATGGATTTTCCTGTGAGCTTCTCTTTTAGGGACAGATAATTTAACCTGATTGGAAAATTCCAACTTATTTGTGAACAGAACCTGGTAGTATTCATGTTTCTCCTATGGGGTCTGCATCCTGGATTCATTCCTAGCTGACCCCTACCCTTAATGCCATCTCATAGAAAACTATTCTGGACCAGGTAGGAAAGTGTCATTTCTGCTTTATTACTTTTTTTAAAAAAATGGTGGAAATCCTGGCTGGGTGGCTCAGTTGATTGGAGCATTATCCTGTACACCAGAAGGTTGTGGGTTCAATTCTAGTCAGGGCACATACCTGGGTTGTGGGTTCAATCCATGCTCAGGGTGCATATGGGAGGCAGCTGATCAGTGTTTCTCTGTCATCTCTCTCTCTCTCTCTCTCTCTCTCTCTCTCTCTGTCTCTGTCTCAAATCAGTAAAAACACATCCTCAGTTGAGGATTTAAAAAATGTGGCAAAATGTATAAGACATAAATTTTTATCCTTCTAACCACTTCTGAGTGTACAGTTCAGTGGCATTTAGTCCATTCACATTGTTGTACAGCCCTCCATCTCCAGAACTTACTCATCTTCCCAAGCTGTGCTCATTAAACAATGACTTCCCATTCCTGCCGCCCACAGCCGCTGGCATTCTGCTTTCTCTCTATGAATTTGATTACTAGGTACCTCTTATAAATGGAATCCTCCAATGTTTGCACTTTTGTATTGTTTATTTCATTTAGCATAATGTTTTCAAAGCTTATTCATATTGTGGCATGTGTCAGGCTGTTGTTCCTTTGTCAAGCTGGATAATATTCCATTGTAAGCATATTACACAATTTTGTTTATCTCTTCATATACTAATGGACATTTGGTTTGCTTCTACCTTTTAGCTGTTGTGAATAATATTGCTGTGAACATTGGTGTATAAATATATTTTTGAGTCCCTGCTTTCACTTGTTTAGGGTATGTACTCAGAAGTGGAAGTGTTGTATCATATGATAATTCTATGTTTAATTTCTTGGGGAACTGCCATACTGTTTTCCACAGCGGTTCTGCTTTATTCTTGACCCCTGTCTTAGCTGCATGCCTGTGTTCAGGACTGAAGAGGTGACGTTAGGGATGAAATGGACTGAGGGGCTTCTACTCTCTCGGGGAGCTTTTTGTTTAGGAGAACCTTTAAAAAAATTAATGAATGATCCCTAGGCAAAAAATTCTCTTTCACTGCATGTTAATAATGTCCTGAAATATAAACATGGCCCCATCAACACTGAGCCCTGGGAATTGTGGGATTTCAGCTTTTTGTTCCTAATGTGACAAGGGCTGTTAGATAGCAGAATCAAACAGGTCCTCTTCTAGCTCCTCCCACAAGATTAATGAAGCATCACAAGGAACAGAAGATTCACCAGTTAGTCTCAGTATGGACTTAGCTCTAAGATATCCAAGCAGTGAGAGGCAAGTTTGCCCTCCGACGTGACAATGAGGCCAGCTGCTGGGACACAGTTAGTTCCCAGCGGCACGAGCCTGCCGAATGAACTCACTGAAACTTTCATCCCAGGAGATGCCACAGGATTGCCTCGTCCAGCTCTCCACCCCCAAGTCCACCAACCTCGCCCCCAAAGGTTCCGGGTTGCTGCTGCCTTGTACACACAAAAACCGAGTACCCAAAGGACAGTCCTGTTCTCCAGAACTTTCCAAATGGTTGATCTGTGTCAGCTACTCTAATAGGACTTGCACAGTGAGATTCAAGAGTGGTGTCCACCCTCAACTATAAGCCAACCATGTTACCTGTTTTTCCATCAAATGTTCATGCTTGCTTCCTGTTTGGCTGCCCCAGGGCTGAGCTCCCCTCAGTTCAGTTCTCAGGAAAAGCTTGTTTAGAGAAACAGAATTAGAGAAGATTCCCTAGACCAGTGGTTCTCAGCCTTCTGGCCCTTTAAATACAGTTCCGCATGTTGTGACCCAACCATAAAATTATTTTCGTTGCTACTTCATAACTGTAATGTTGCTACTGTTATGAATCCTAATGTAAATATCTGATATGCAGGATGGTCTTAGGCGACCCCTGTGAAAGGGTCGTTCAACTGCCAAAGGGGTCGCGACCCACAGGTTGAGAACCGCTGCCCTAGAGGAGATGCAGCCCTGTTCTTCTTAGAAACTCCCTACATTTATCTATCCTGGGATTAAGCAGGACCATCTACAAAGGGATTCCTGGCTGCTGTCCTGACCCCTCCTGGGACACTCACATCTTCACTCAGGGCCGCCTCCTCTGCATAATGTAGCCTTCATCCCACCACGCTCACTGTCGTACAGCTGATCCACTGTACATGCCACCTTCCGTATCTGAAGCCCCACCAAACACATGGCTCCCTCGCCATGGTGGTAGGTGTTCTCCAGGCACGTGGTTTGTGTGATCCTGTGTGCCACGTGAACCACCCCGCCGCAGCCGCTGGGAAGCTGGGGGACAGGGCAGCAGTCTGCTAGGTGTTCACCTCATGCCAGTCTTCACCTTGCTTTGTAACCTCTTTTTCTTTTCCTCATTGCCTCACTTACTTTAGGTTGTTGAATTATCTGACTTTTTGTAAGCTATTCAGATCTTTTAAGGGACAAATTGGAAGTATAAACATGAACCAGGTATTCGTAGTTGCTCTGAATGCTCAGAGGACAAAATGTATATAAATTATTCGTTTTCATGGAACTGGAATGTGACCAAGATAGTTGGCATTAAAACCACTGGGGGCTGAGTGGAGATGGACAAGGGGGTGAATATGGGGAACATCTGTAATTGTGTCAACAATAAAAGCACACTGCTATTCTGAATACAGAAAATGGGGGACTCGCTCTAGCCGGTTTGGCTCAGTGGCTGTCGACCTGGGACCCTTCGGTCAAGGGCACGTACCTCAGTTGCAGGCTCCTCCCCGGCCCGGGCACTGGTCAGGGCTCTAGCAGGAGGCAACCAATCAATGTGTCTCTCTCACATCGATGTTTCTCTCTTCTTTCCCTCTCTCTTCCACTCTCTCTGAAAATCAGTGGAAAGAATATTCTTGGGTGAGGATTAAAAAAAAAAAGAATGGGAGACATCTGTAATAGTGTCCACAATAAAAGCTCTCTACTACTCTGAGTACAGACTGACTATACTGTAAGTTCTGTGCTGTAGGGGCCTTGGTTGGCTGCCCGCTCTGAAACTCCAGTGGCTAGTGCTGTGCTTGGCACACAGGGATACTCAGTACACGTGCCCTGAGCGGCCTGGACAAGCAGGATCTGGGCACCTAAGGTTCCCACCACCACCGTCTGCCGGTGCCCAGAGGCAAAGAGGAGCCGTGAGGCTCTGGTCTTGCCTCCACCTGTCACACCTGGGGGGACACAGCCGGCACCTCTAACGTTCTCCTGTCTCCCTCTTTGCAGACTCACATTTCCAGACTCCCTCCCGGTGCGGTGGCAGGACAGTCCGTGGCCATCGAAGGTGGGGTGTGCCGCTTGCAGAGCCCAGTAAACTGAACCTTCAAGCTGAGCATGAAGCACCTGAGGGCATTTCAGAACCTGAGATTTCCGTATTTTTAACAGAAGTTGGATGTCCTGTCCTATCGTCTTCATTTTATAACTCCTATTGCAGCCTCGCACACCGCTGGCGACACTAGTGCTGCCACAGTGAGTGCTAGTGACACGCCGGCCTTTGGTGGGCGGGTGGGCTGAGTGCACGAGTGTTTGCGTGTGTGCGTGTGCGTGTGTGTGTGTGTGCGTGTGTGTGTGTGTGTGTGTGTGCAGCGTGAGTGCTTGCTTCTCCCTGATGAAATAGAAACTCCCCCATATTGCGTAACCTAAGACCAGGAATGAGTCAATCATCTTTACAAAATGTGTGCTTTAACTGTTTACAAGTCAAACGTAAAGTTGCAGGAAACATTTTTTATTTCGTAAAGAGGTACCAACTGTCGTCGATGTAATGTGTCTGAATTGAAGGGTAAATCTGCTTGTTTAAATGACTTGACAGTGGTAGTGCTCCATTTAGTAACAGTAATAAGTGATAAAGTGTTTTTATTTGTTAACCAGTTTAAGTGGATCCTGTGGTGACTTAAACTGTTATTCTCATCCCTCATATGGGGCATTTTTCTTTAACAAAGAATGGTTTCAGTGAAACAATCTAGCAGAGAATCAAGGTCAGAACCTTTTAAAATAATAGTCTTATTGACAAAGTTTGTACTTCTTCCCTCAAGCCTTTCTAAACGTAATAGCTTCGAGCTGTGTGTACTGTATTATGAAAGGATATGTAAAGAAACCATACGGTAATGCAGTCCTTAATTTGTGTATAATGGAATGTTATTTACAATGTAACACTGTAAATAAGAAAGCAAAATTTATGGGAAAATTCAATATTATCTTTGTTTCTTGTTTAAATATATTTTTAAGGTAAAGGCACAAAAATAAAAGAAGCATATTACTGGGTATAGTGTGTGACTCCTCAGACTAATAAATTATCTTTTGAATCCTAGACCGGCGAGCCATTTTTTATTTTGTTTGTGAAACGTTACTTCTTCCAAAAATCATACTATTAGCCTTCTTGCTGGGATTCTGATTGGTCAAAATCCAGGCTTATGTTCATACAATAAGTTGGGTGGGGCACTAGCAAGGTAAAAGTTGAACTTAGTACATGATTGAATGGTCAGTATAGAACTCCCTGAAATTTCTGTTCCAACTTGATAAAAATAACAAAAGAAAGGAATAAGAGCACTTTGAAAAACTGTAGTGGCAGTTGAAAACCCAGCGGTTACAGTCAATAAATTGCTCCTAAATGTTATATTTAGTGATTCTGGAGCCACATAAGAAAACCAAGGCTTTCCTTTTGATTTTCTATGTAAGAAGTGGCTATCAAGAAGATACTAAAGATAGCCTCGCTCAGGGGGAGGCGTCCCCTGCACCCTGTAATCATGGCTCTGGCGGTAACTGATAAAGCCCCAGATGAAATTATACACTTGACATCGATGTATGGCCAAATTATAAAGGAAAGACAACCGAAATGGAGTGGGTGTAAATACGAATGATTCGGGAGTCGCTGCCCTATATTCCTCATACAGGCAATTACATTTGTCTCGCTGTGTTCTCTAGACAGGTTGGTGCCGTGGTATCTGTTTCTCATTCTTAATGAGGCTGAGAACTTAGTGAGAGATGGGCTGGCTGGTGGGGAGCCTTTGGCTTCAAAAGCTTTCAAAGACCTGTTACCTGTTGGCAGGGTTTTTTCAGGAACTGGACTGGATCACGTAAAACTATCAGGACACTTGGGAGTCTGAAAATCATCTGACCTATTTCACCAGGAATGCCATGTCTTTCATCTCCTTTTGCCTTTATTCCATTCATATTTAAACGCTTGGGCTTGTTAAAGACCCCTTTTATGAAGAGTTTAAAAAGTGGTCAGTACAAAGGATCATGGCCCCATAACAGTTGTTAAGACTTTATTCTCCAGTGTCTTTTTTTTTTTTAAATTCAAGGAATATTGAGGGAGAAAAAAAAATGATATTCAGAAACATATTGGATAGTGTAAGTTCCTTCATTAGAAGATCAGACGTTGAAGAGCAGGTACTGTAACCAGAGGATGCTGGCAAATAGAAAATCAACTTCATTTCACACCAAAGGAGAAAAAGCAGAAGCAGAAGAGGGAGAATATAACCTCCTGTCCTAGTCTGGCTGGTGGTAGCACGATTCTGAAGCTATATTTGAAGATGCCCACTTTTAATGTGGAGGATCTTGACTGTATGCCTGCATTCTATTTCTTTTTAAGTCCTGAACATTGGATGTGTGGTCCTCTTGAGTATAATTAAGTCTGTTCTGGATCCCTCAAGGTCATGGCCGTGATCCTGCTTGGGGTTTGGAAGCAGGTGAAGAGGCGGAAGGAACCTGGGTGCCCGTGCTGACTGACGACACGGGTGGCAGCCTTGTCCAGGCTTTGTCCTCTCCTGTCAGGTCTACCACCCTGCCTGCTGGGTGTCTGCCTCTGCAGGCCCTGTCTCAGCTTTTAATTGCCACTTCTAAACGTGAACTTGAACTCAGATATCAACATGAAAATTCTGTACTTATAAACAAGTCCTACCAGTGAATGCTACTCTGTGAGCAAATGGGAGAGTTTCAGTTCAGAGATATGGGGACGTCTCTCAGCTGCTCAAAGCCTTTTGCACCTAATTCCTCGTTTTCTCCCGTGTGTGAGAGGGGTTGTTGAGTGCCACTTACCTGCAGCTAAGCAAGGCGACTGGAGCATTGGATGGAGGGTGTGAAGGAGGAATGAAGGGAAGATTTAGAAAAGTGCTAGAATTATTCTTGAATCTTGAAATTGTACAGAATATTTTTTTAATCTGGTCACTATTATTATAAAAGTAATCCATGCTTATTATAAGGATTCAGCAAATAGGTAAGAAAAAAGAGAAGCCATAACCCCACTTCCCTAAAGACAGCAATTAATAACACAAAGATTTTTAAAAAATATATTTTATTGATTTTTTACAGAGAGGAAGGGAGAGGGATAGAGAGTTAGAAACATCAATGAGAGAGAAACATCAATCAGCTGCCTCCTGCACGCCCCCTACTGGGGATGTGCCCGCAACCAAGGTACATGCCCTTGACCGGAATCGAACCTGGGACCCTTCAGTCCGCAGGCCAGCGCTCTATCCACTGAGCCAAACTGGTCAGGGCACACATAGATTCTTTATGCATACATTTTCTATGTGTTTTTAAACACAAAAATGGGGTTATATTGAACCCTCAAACGGAGTTCTATGACCTGCAGTTTTCACCTAACCTCATGGAAAGCTGTCATTATAATCACATAATGCCTCACTTACTACTTCATCCAGTGCTGGCTCCACTAATGCTGTTGAATACATATATTTTATCCTAAAACTTTGGTGAAAATCCATCGCAGTCCTGACAGTACAGTCAGCATCCACTTTTTCAGGCTATGGGTTCATGCAGTGAGCACTGTGGAAGGTGGTCCTAGCCAGTGAAAGCCAGCTTGTCAGGTGTCCTAGACTAGCCCACAGTCCTGGCCTATAGGTCTGTTTCAGAGGGCCCCAGACAACTTTTAATGGCTAATATCTGCACCTCTGTGTCCATTAATTTTTTTGGCTACAGCAGGCCAGGAGTACTATGGAATCAGCACTTCCAAGAAGAAGCTGTCAACAGTCATAGAGGTTGGTGTATAAAAATATCACTCACTCCAAGCTGGTGGTGCTCAATGGTTGGAGCATCGGCTATCACACTGAAGGCTCTCGGGTTTGATTCCTGGTCAAGGGTTGGGGTGGGTGCAGGAGGCAGCTGATGGATATGACTCTTGCATCGATGTTTCTCTCTCTCTCTCTCTCTCTCTCCCTCCCTCCCTCCCTCCCTCCCTCCCTCCCTCTTCCTTCTTCCCTCCTTCCCACTCTTTCTAAAAATCAATGGAAAACTATCCTTGGCTCAGCTGGTGTGGCTTGGTGGTTGAGCGTCGACCTATGTACCAGGAGGTCACATGCCTGGGTTGCAGGCTTGATCCCCAGTGGCGGATGTTCAGCAGGCAGCCGATCAATGATTCTCTCTCATCATTGATGATTCTATCTCTCACTCTCCCTTCCTCTCTGAAATCAATAAAAATATATTTTAAAAAAATATCCTTGGGTAAGAATTAACAACAAAATATTGCTCCCTTGCCCTAGCCAGTTTGGCTCAGTGGATAGAGTGTCAGCTTGCGGACTGAAGGGTCCCGGGTTCGATTCCAGTCAAGGGCACATGCCTGGGTTGTGGGCTTAATCCCATTGTGGGGCGTGCAGGAAGCAGCTGATCAGTGATTCTCTCTCATCATTGATATTTTTCCCTCTCCCTTCCTCTCTGAAATCAATAAAAACATATCTAAAAAAAAATATTGCTCCCTTGCTCCTTGGATGAGATCATTCTGAGGCTTGTGTTTCATACTGTTTTGGGGAGATTTCCCACAGAATTAAGCTTTAGTAACCTGCTTTGGTAGCTGACTTATTAATACACCTTGTATTCGCTTTCCCCCTTCCCTATGCCCTTCTCAACTCCCTGGGTGTCCTGCAATCATCTACCAAATGAACTACTTGCACTTCACTCCTTGTTTCAGGGTGCTTCTGGGGGTATTGAAACTAAGGAACTTTCCATCCCATATACTCTTGCCCACAAGGCCATGGTGGGCCTTTATACCCTCCCTACAGAGGGTGGGCCCCTCCATCTGCTTATGTACCCCACTGGGGTCTTTCTTCCTGCCTTGTGTTCCTGATGAACCATATTCATCCATGACATCTGATGAACATTCTCCAAGGGAAAAGGCCTGATGGATCACAAAAGTGAAGGTTTACAAGTCTGTATTGACAGGCACCAGAGTGCTGGAGACAAGCAAGCACTTGGAGGGAGGGAGTGAATAAACAGAGGCTGGACAGCAGCAGTCAGCCAAGGACTGATGGGCGCCCTGGAGGAAATGACCTGGAATTGTGGGAATGGTAGTTGGAAGAAACCATAGCCAAAGGCATGTCATGACTAAGAGATCTGCAGAGACCAGAACAGTGGCTGCCGTTGTCCCCATGCCGTGAACACATCATGATGACCACACTGTGAAAACCTCATGGGGTGCCATGTCCCGAATGTCATCTCAAGCCTGGATACCCATGACATAATGTTATGGTTCAAAATTTTTAACACCTCCCAACATTTTTTAAAACAAAATGTTTATTAAGTCAAACACATCAACTTTGTTCTGCCATAAGCCCTACAATTGCTCAAAACTTGAGAAGCCCTTTGTGCCGGAAGGGCGGTGTCTTTGTCCAACATAAGGTTGCGGTGCTGAGCTGTGGGGACTATGGGGGGGAGGACCTCCTCCCTCCCAGAAACACTGGCCCAAGGAAAGGTTGAACCCAGAAGACATGAGCTTTTGTGTATGTGCTGAACTTGTTTTACGTTAGCTCTATTCTAAACCTTCCCCAAAAGCTGATTAGGACGCAGGGGACGGGGGTGTGGGTGGGTGAACGTAGCGAGCTCCAGGTGGGGATCAGTGAGTGGGAGGTTGGCAACATAAAATAACCCTTTTACATGAATGTTTGTTCTGGGATGTTAAGAATTATTAAGGAATACACTGCTTTTCCTCAACACTCATTTTGGGTTCAAGTTCACAAGGTATTAGCCCAGATGTCTGTCATCAGAGACCCACAGGCTGACCAACTTGACCAGGCAGTTTTTCCTTTCCCACGTGCTTCGTCTCTGAAGTGTATGGCCACGGGAAGGATTAAATCTAAAACTGGCAGGGGCCTCCGTGCACGCAGCTCCCAGAAGCCCATCAGCCAAGCCCAAGGTGGTTCTTTGTGACCAGTTGTGGAAAGCGGGAAGGGAAGCAAGCACGGTGGTTTCTCCTTTACGTGGTAGAACTCCGGAGCCCTGATACCACAGTGGCGAAGCCAGAAAAACCGCACTGCCATGAGGATCCCACTGAAGCTGGAAAGGAACAAATCTAAACATTTC